GGGGGGGAGTCTGAATCTCCCAGAATCTCACCCAGTGACAAGAAGGTTTAAAAAAAAAATTGCCGCCAACATTTTACATCACCCTAAAATGGTTTTATTCTTTGTGGGCCCAATGACTCCTGCCAGGTTGCCACTACAGGAATTCTGCCAGATTTCAATTGGGGTTTTCAAAATATTGTTGTCTCCATTTTGGGCTGTGGTTAAAGCCCAGAAGGCATGGAGCAGAGCGCCTCCATGATCCTTTACGACCTTAAATCCCCACCTCACCCCAGATATTTACCATAGGAAGGAAAGCTTATGTTGATATATTTTGTATAGATTGGGTGGAGCGATTTAAGATAGGTTACCTGAAATGGCTTTTGAAAAAAAGGAAGACTTCAAGAGTTTGCTGTTACAGATGTTAATGTAAAGTGTTTGATCCTAAAGTAGAAAGTGAACAACAGTGATCCTCCAGATTTTTTTTTTTACGGTCACTCCCATCATCCTTCAGTATTGCCTATGCCAGCTAAGACTGATGGGAACTGCAGATCAAAAACATCTGGAGAGCCACCCCCTGCCCTAATGGTATAATAAGAGTAACTGTGGACCATCAAATTAATTCTGATTTATGGCCACCTTTTTCAGGGTTTTTCAGGCAGAGAATACACAGAAGAGGCTTCCCATTCTTCTTCAATGGATTTCCTGAGATTGTACAGCTTGCCCAAGGCCACCCAGGCTGGCTCTTCTCCCTGGGAGCCAGTGAGGAATCGAACCCCCAACCTCTGGCTCCACAGCCAGATACCGTGTTGCCCGGAAATTAGACAGGGTCTTATATTAATTTTTGCTCCAAAAAAACACATTAGAGCTTATTTTCAGGAGATTTTTTTTTCATGTACAACCATCTACATTTATTAAAATATAATCATGTCATCTTCTGGTTGCTGCACAATGGTGGAGGGCAGAGTTTCACTTAACTAGGGCTTATTTTGGGGGTAGGGCTTATATGACGAGCATCCTGAAAAATCATATTAGGGCTTATTTTCAGGTTAGGTCTTATTTTCAGGGAAACAGGGTACCTAACTCACTAAGCTATCCAGCCAGCTCCCTAAAAGCATATTCTTATGTACTTATTTCAATCTTTAGAGCAAAGGTAAAGGTTCCCCTTGACAATTTTGTCCAGTCGTGTTCAACTCTAGGGGCGGTGCTCATCCCTGTTTCCAGGCTATAGAGCCAGTGATTGCCTGCAGACAATCATCCGTGGTCATGTGGCCAACGTGACTAGACACAGAATGCCATTTACCTTCCCACCAAGGTGGTACCTATTTATCTACTCACATTTTTTGCATTTTGCATGCTTTCGAACTGCTAGGTTGGCGGGAACTGGGACAAGCGACGGGGGCTCATTCTGTTGCGTGGATTCGATCTTACGACTACTTGGTCTTCTGACCTTGCAGCACAGAGGCTTCTGCGGTTTAACCCGCAGCACCACCACCTCTACTTTACAGTAGAGTAGCCTAATTATTTTAACACTTTAATTTGTTTTTAATTTTACCTTATATTTCATATATATCCATAATTTTAGATGGTGAAACATTCTGATGCAAATAAAGAAAGATTTGATATGAAAGGTTTGTATAGAACTCACTTCCTCCCCACCCCCCCACCCCCGCTTATCTAACCTGCTGTTTCCTGCCAAGTGGTTTGGGACCTTCCCCTTTACAGGTTTTTGCACCTATATATGATTTTAGCAAAATATTTTTATGTAACCATTCTAGGGAAGGTTCCTCTTTGTGTAGCATTCATCTGGAATACACTGACAGTTGCATTAACCACTAACCAACATTCACACGACTTGATTTTCTATTCCTTGTCTGAGGTGATAGAGCCTCACACACAGATCAACTCCCTCAGGGAAGAAGGAGCCTAGAAGAGTACATTTACTTTATTTTGTATATTTCCTTCTTTCTGCAATGCCTTCAATCAGTCGTACACAAAGTATAGTCCCCCGGGAAAGTTTTATTCCTGTGGGATCCTCTGAAAAGAACTTCCTAACCAGACATGTCTTGTGTTCTTGTTGTGTACCATTAAGTTGGGACAAGCTTTCCGCATCTCTTGACAGAGGTTTCAAGGTAAGTTAGGTTTTTAATGAGAAGTTTTACCACTTCCCCATTCCACTCTGCAAGTTTCCATGGCTAAACAGATCTCCAGAGTCCTAGACTGCCAGTCTGTCCACCACGCCACACTGGCTTTTAATGGCTTTATCCATAAATGGCTGCCTGAGAGACTTCATACGTTTGTGGTCAACCTTGCAATAAGAATTGATCGCATGGCTAGTCTGGTAAAGCAGCTTCCATTCTGACCATCGTTATTTCTGACAGCCCAAGTACTGCTGCCGCCTCCTCGTGACCTTACGCTTCTGTCGAAGGATTTCAGTCTGTTCCTGAGCTGGCTTCCAGATGACAGCTACCCTTCTGGAGTGTCCTATACGGTTCAGTGGAGGTGGGTATCAGAGGGAAAGGAGGGAGGCAAAGCTTCCATCGTCTTTCTGGAACGTTCTGGAGACATAAGGAATCGAAGGGTGAAGGAGGGCCATATCCTGATCGACAGGTCCTCTTCTAGATGACTCCTCTAAGCTTCCACACTTAGAGAAGAGAGCCTTTAAAGAAAACCCTGGTCAGACTCTAGTGGGTGTTTCCTCTGACCTGCAGCTTAAGGATGAGGGACATCATAGTCCATCACATAGGTGGGGCCCCAGTGACAGAGGGGAAAAACTACTGCTAGGCATGTGCATGCATAGAGACAGAAGGCCTGTCTCCCAGAAGAGAAGCCGGGCCGCTGTCTCCGAATATGGTGGAGGCAGAGGAGGAAGACAAGGAGGTGGCAACACAATGTAGGGGGGC